GATTATACCCATTTTTGGAATACACAAATATATTTACTCCATTACATGTGTCGGTGATAATTCGATTTCATCCTCAGTGAAATAAACAGAGTATTTGAGATTTTTCACGGTTAGGATTTTGCTTTGTCATGGAATATTCTTGGTAATTGCATCACTACGTTTACTTTTACTAAAAAGCAAAAAAGTGGAATTTTTGAAGCTTAAGTAGCTAGTGTACAAATTTAGGAACCCACTTACTAGTATTTATTTAGTTTGGTGAGTATTAGAGGTTACAGATTTAATTTATCTTTTCATTAACTCACGCGCTTTATTAATGGCAGCCGCTAACTATAGTCATGTTTTTGGTAATATTTAAATGATAAAATTATATTTCGGAGATTGCAGAAAAATTATATTGAAAATTCTACAACATGATGTAAAAAATCTTGATAGAATAACATAATTGTTCTAATGTAAAATAATTTGAACATTGAAGCATCGGTTTTAGGATGATTAAGACTTAAGAGAGCTAATCAAGATTTGGTGGATGTAGAAATACACTCGTGAACTAAGAAGATTAAGAAAGCTAATTAGTAAGAGTTTAGTTTTTGTCTCTTTGTGACGACAAGTTTTACTTGCCAGGCTGGACATGGCAGCTTGTCGTTGACCTGTTGACCGAGGCTGAATAGACGATTTTTCAAATGAATTAACGCGTTTACTTTCGATAAAAGACCAAAATAATTGATACATAAACTAATCCAAATAATTACTTTATAATAGTTTCATTTATGTATTGAAAAAAATTCAATTTTTTTTGGAACGTTTCAGTAGTTTTTGGAATTATGCAAGTATATATGATCTATAACATCTACTAAAAAGTACAAGACATCATCACAAATTCACAATTACCATTTTTGTTCATTGAATTGTTTAATTGCTTAAATATATAGAAGATTCGGCCCCCAAAGTTTTAACATAGTCCAAGTAGAAAAGTCAAATCGCTTACTAGTTCAACCTTGGACCGGTTAAATCGTAAATCGGTTATCTGGCCGGTTTGTGTGTTTATCCAAAACTATTATTATTCTTTCAAGTTTTTTAGAGTATACAAAAGTTCAAAAGTCAAGATTTTTTTACTTTTAAATCCCTAATTAGTTGTTGTTAAGAGTATCCAAAAGTCAAATAAAATTTCTTTTTTGTTCTTCAGAATCCACCAATTCTCAATTTCTCATAGTTTTTGTTTTGTTTAACAGAGCTTTGAAGTCGCAGAACTTATCAGGCATTGTCCCTCCAGAATTCTCTAAGCTTCGTCACCTCAAAGTTTTGTAAGTGATCAAAAGCAAACAAAGTTTCATACTTTCTCTCAAAGTTTTTAAATTATAGAAATGGTTCTTAATCATAACACATACATTTTGGTGCAGAGACCTTAGCCGTAACTATCTGACTGGTTCCATTCCAAAGGAATGGGCTTCTATGCGTTTGGAAGATCTGTAAGATCTTCGACATTGTTTCTGTAATGAAATGAAACATAATCTTCTTCTCTTTTTAATAACTGTTGTTATCTTTGTTGGTTTGATACACAGATCTTTTATGGGGAACCGATTGTCTGGTCCTTTCCCGAAAGTCCTAACCCGCCTTACATTGCTCAAAAACTTGTATGTTCTAGTGGCCTATCCTCAAACTTTTCTGGTTTATGTTTTCAAAGTATTGCATTATGATATTGTAGAGTTTTTGAAGCTGTTAATGTATTTGAATGTGTTCATCATTGTGCAGGAGCCTCGAAGGAAATCTCTTTTCAGGACCAATCCCTCCTGAGATAGGAAAAATGATTCATTTGGAGAGACTGTAAGTTTATTTTCTCTCCCTTCATCTTTAAACGTTATCGGTTTTTCGTGGGTATCGAATAACATACAAACGAGCATCACGAGACATCTCAATTCTTTTGGCTTCTTGCTTTTAGTATCTTATCATCTTTCCTCTTTTTTTGCCTCAGTCATCTTCCTTCAAATGCTTTCACTGGCCCATTGCCTGAAAATCTTGGATTGCTCAAGAACTTGACTGATATGTAAGATAACATATGTGTTATTGTATGACAATAAGAAATAGAAAAATAAACAAATTCAGTCTTTCTTAGATCACTTCTTCAATGTATTTCTAAATATTGTATTTTCTGGATGATAGGAGGATAAGTGATAATAACTTCACTGGCCGGATACCAGATTTTATCGGCAATTGGACAAGGATAATGAAACTGTAAGATTAATTCTTTCTCCATAAATACTTGCATTGTGTTTCTCAAGAAAGACATACAAACCAAAGAAGTGTTTTGCAGGCAGATGCATGGTTCCGGTTTGGATGGTCCGATACCTTCTAGTATTTCAGCATTGACTAGCTTGACCGATCTGTAGGCCATTGAAAACTACTTCTTTTCATCTTCATTTCCTCGGGAAAAAATGACACAAGATCATTCATCATCATGGTTTTTCTTTGTTGTGTTGTGATTGATAGGAGGATTAGCGACTTAGGAGGCAAACCGTCTTCCTTCCCTCCATTAAATCATTTGGAGTCTATCAAGACACTGTGAGTAAAACTACAATTTTTGTTGTGTTGTGTATGTAGTATAAGTTTGCTAGAAAATGTTTTTAACCAATCTCAAATGTAGGGTATTGCGAAGATGCAATTTAAACGGCCCAATTCCAAAATATATTGGGCATATGAAGAAGCTCAAAACACTGTAAGTCATGCATATACATTGAGCAAAGGAGGGATTTAAAATGATTTATTAGTTTCATGAGATTGAACTCTGTATGTGGATTATGTAGTGACCTCAGTTTTAATCTCCTAACTGGTGAGATTCCTCCATCGTTTGATAATATGAAGAAAGCCGATTTCATGTAAGTACGTCACAAAAAAAATAGCTTAGAATATGTTTCCTAATCATTGAATGTAGTTCTTAATCTTCTCTTTCAGTTATTTGACAGGAAACCATCTTACAGGAGCTATTCCGAGCTCATTTGTCGAAAGAAACAAAAACGTGTACGAATACATGCCTCTTTCTTTTTGTACCAACTTACCAACTTAAACATATTTCAAAAACTGTATTTTCTTCTTCTTGATATGCAGAGATGTTTCTTACAACAACTTTACCGATGCAAGTTCAATTCTCACTGATGGTTGTAGCCGAGTTACTTCGTAAGTTATTTCAATGTACTCTTATATTCAAAATACTTATGTTCATACCTTTGCAGAAACAACAATCTATATTTGCTTCATTTTCTAGGAATTGGGTGGAAAGCTTCTCCAAAGCGAATAAATCGTACGGAACCACTCTCTCTGTTTTAAGTAAACTGATCGATGCTCATGAGTTTATAGTGGTTTCTTAAATGCCTGTCTCTGTGTGTTCCCCTCTGAATTTGATGTTTCAGACACAAGCAATCATCCTGTTATCTTCAGCACATCCCTTGTCTTCTTCCTAAGAGAGACCGTAAGTAACAGTAAGCGCTTGTGTTGTTTTCATCATAATTCTGGTAAGCAGATTCTTGTTCTTGATTAAGAAAATGAAACTTTATGTGTAGATAAATATAAACTGTACATAAACTGCGGAGGAAGTGAAGTAAAAGTGGATAAAGGAATAACATATGAAGCTGACACTGATCCAAAAGGTGCTTCTATGTTCTACCTTGGCGATCACTGGGCGTATAGCAGCACCGGGAACTTCATGGACAACGATGATGATGCTGATGATTACACTGTCCAGAACACAACCAGATTATCAGTTAATGCTTCGTCTCCAATCTCTGAGATTTACAAGACAGCTCGAGTCTCTCCTTTATCATTGACTTACTATGGACTCTGTCTTGGAAATGGTAACTACAATGTAAAACTCCACTTTGCTGAGATCGTCTTTACCGATGACCATACATTTTACAGTCTCGGTAAACGTTTGTTCGATGTTTATGTTCAGGTACGGTCTATGGAATCAATAGTCTTTTTTACTTACTCTGTAGAAACCATATTTTGTATTCTTACTTATTTATCTGATCACAGGATAAGTTAGTGATTAGAAACTTCGACATTCAAAAGGCGGCTGGTGGATCGGGTAAACCAATTATTAAAAATTTTACGGTAGATGTAACGGACCATAATCTGAAGATCGGTTTGCGATGGGCTGGGAAAGGGACAACAGGCATTCCAATTAGAGGAGTTTATGGTCCTATGATCTCAGCTATATCAGTGAAACCAAGTAAGTTTTTCTTACTGCTTGCATTTCTATATAAATCATTGGCGGTTTTTTATGACAGTTTTTGCTCGTGGCAGATTTCAAACCTCCGGTATATCATGACAAAAAAACTATCATGCTAGAAGCAGGGATATCTGTAGCAGCAACACTTCTTTTGTTTATCATAGTGAGTATATTTTGGAAAAGAAGGTGTGACAAAAATGCTATTGACAAAGGTATAATAAGCTTTTAGTTTTCTTACAGTGATGTATATATGATTGTGTTCACATGTATGAATAGTACTTTTTTATGTATACCGCGGTTTAATCTCAATTCGTCTATGACTGAACAGAGCTAAGGGGTTTAGATCTTCAAACTGGAACTTTCACTCTACGACAGATTAAAGCAGCCACTGATAACTTCGATGCATCAATGAAGATTGGTGAAGGTGGATTTGGCTCTGTTTACAAGGTAAGTCACTTGTATTTCTCAGCTCTCTTACTTCTATATGAAAATCTGTTACAGTTACATTTTGGAAGAGGTGTTAAAAAGGTGGTCCCTTCTCTTGGTGCAGGGTGTATTATCAGAGGGAAAATTGATTGCAGTTAAACAATTGTCCGCAAAATCTAGGCAGGGAAATCGAGAGTTTGTGAATGAAATAGGAATGATCTCAGCTCTACAACATCCAAATCTTGTGAAGCTCTATGGATGTTGTGTTGAAGGAAACCAGTTGATATTGGTGTATGAGTATTTGGAGAACAACTGTCTCTCTCGTGCGCTATTCGGTATGTTCTTTTTCGAGTTTGCGACTGCGAAAGTATATGAACCATGTATTTGATCAAAATCTCCGTGTGTGTGATTTTATTTTTGCAGGAAAGGAAGAGAGTTCTAGACTGAAACTAGACTGGTCAACAAGGAAGAAGATTTTCTTGGGCATAGCTAAAGGACTAACATTTCTCCATGAAGAATCTAGGATAAAGATTGTACACAGAGATATAAAGGCAAGCAACGTGTTACTCGATAAGGATCTTAACGCTAAAATCTCTGACTTTGGTTTGGCCAAGCTTAATGATGATGGAAACACGCATATCAGCACCCGTATTGCAGGAACTATGTAAGGCTCTTTTTAATTACTCTCATAAGCTCAAGCAGAGTATTCTTAAAGGATACATTTTTTCTTGATATTTTCATTTGCATTGCAGAGGTTATATGGCTCCTGAATATGCGATGCGTGGTTACTTGACTGAAAAAGCGGATGTTTATAGCTTTGGCGTGGTTGCACTTGAGATCGTAAGCGGAAAGAGTAACACAAACTTTAGGCCAAGCGAGGACTTCGTTTACCTTCTTGATTGGGTAAACAATCTCATCTCTTTCAATCACTTAATAAGTATGACTCAATGATATAACAAACCAAACTAAGTAACTTTTGATGTAGGCTTATGTTTTGCAAGAGAGGGGAAGCTTGCTAGAGCTAGTTGATCCAACGCTAGGCTCGGATTATTCAGAAGAAGAAGCCATGCTGATGTTGAATGTGGCGCTAATGTGTACCAACGCGTCGCCTACGCTTAGGCCTACAATGTCTCAAGTGGTGAGTCTCTTAGAGGGAAAGACCGCTATGCAAGAGTTGCTCTCGGATCCTAGCTTCTCAACGGTTAACCCGAAGCTTAAAGCATTGAGGAACCATTTTTGGCAGAACGAGCTGAGCAGAACACTTAGCTTCTCCACAAGCAGGCCTTGTACTGACTCTGTCAATTCACAAGTTGATGCTGAGGAGAAGACTGGACTTTTGGATTGAGTTTTTATGTTCCAACTTTTAAGTGAGATTAGTAGGAGTATTGGAAGTAAACAGAGTTTTTTTTTTCTTTGTTTTTTCTAAGTGTATATAATTTAAGTTCGTTTTAGCTCACAATTGTGATATGAAATTGCATTGATCGCAGAATCAGAAAAAAGACTAATATTCAAAAGTAATGCTTGATCAAATTTTATTATCCGTGGTAAAAAAAAAAATATGTATTGATCTGATGAAATTTTATAAGCATACTCTTGATCTGTTTAACAAAGACAAAGTTCTTGAATCTTGAATTTATTTTATTTATTTTGTAGACTAGATCCACAAAGTTTGGCAAATTTCAAAATGGCCACACAACTCCAAGATATAATCACTAAAGCTCTATTCGTTTATGTATCAGTGTCACATATGTCTCAACATCAATAATTTCTTTCAAGATTCAAAATACCATCACTATATAATGTTTTTGGAACTCTAATAAGCTCTAGCTCGCA